CGGCCCGGTCGTCGACCAGGCCTCCTGGTAGCTGGACTGATCAACCAGGCTGTTGGATGCGACTGCTCGCAGCCTGACATATGAGTCACAGCCTGGTTGATCAGGTATCCTTTGGAGGTGCTTATCCAGTTCTCTCTTGAACACTGTGAGGGGTCGGCCAGTTATGCCCCTTATGTGTAGTGGAAGCGTGTTGAACAATCTCGGGCCTCTGATGTTGATAGAGTTCTCTCTCAGAGTACCTGTTGCACCTCTGCTTTTCAACGGGGGTATTCTGCACATCCTACCATGTCTTCTGGTCTCATGTGATGTTATTTTTGTGTGCAGGTTTGGGACCAGCTCCTCTAATATTTTCCATTTGTAAATTATTATGTATCTCTCCCGCCTGCGCTCAAGGGAGTACAGATTTAGGCTCTTTAGTCGGTCCCAATAGTTTAGATGTTTTACTGAGTGGATTCTAGCAGTAAAGGATCTCTGTACGCTCCCCAGGTCAGCAATTTCTCCAGCTTTGAAAGGGGCTGTCATTGTGCAGCAGTACTCCACTCTAGAGAGCACAAGCGTTTTGAAAAGTATCATCATCGGTATAGCATCTCTAGTGTGAAAAGTTCTTGTTATTCAACCTTTCTTTTTTCTTGCAGTTGTGATGGCTACTTTATTGTGTTCTTTAAAGGTAAGGTCTTCCGACATGAGTACACCCAGATCCTTTACATTGCCTTTTCGTTCTATGTTATGATTTGCCTGAGTTTTGTACGTGGTTTCCATTTTTATATTTTCATTTTTTCCATAGCGCATGAGCTGGAACTTATCTTCGTTAAACACCATATTATTTTCTGTAGCCCATAGAAAGACCTGATCTACATCTGATTCGAGGTTTGCCGTGTCTTCTATGTTGCCTACTCTCATGAAGATCCTAGTGTCATCTGCAAAGGATGATACAGTGCTATAGGTTGTGTTCTTGTCTATGTCCAATATGAGGATGAGAAAAAGTACTGGAGCAAGCACAGTACCCTGGGGGACTGAGCTCTTCACGGTTGATGGGCTGGATTTTATTTTGTTGACTATTACACATTGGGTTCTGTTAGTCAGGAAATTGTAGATCCATCTGCCTATTTTTCCGGTAATTCCTTTTAAACGCATTTTATGTGCAATAACACTATGGTCACATTTATCAAAAGCTTTTGCAAAATCTGTGTAAATTACATCAGCGTTTTGTTTGTCTTCCATAGCATCTAATGCCATATCATAGTGGTCCAGCAACTGCGACAGGCAAGAACGCCCTGTTCTGAAACCATGTTGTCCGGGGTTATGGAGATGCTGTGATTCCATGTATTTTGTGATCTTACTTCTTAGCACTCTCTCAAAATTTTTTATGATGTGCGATGTTAGTGCTATCGGTCTGTAATTTTTTGCCTCTGCCTTATTTCCTCCTTTATGAAGTGGTGCTATCTCTGCTGTTTTTAGTATATCAGGGATAATGCCAGTATCTAGGCTTTGTCTCCACAGAATGTGAAGGGCCTGCAATAGTGTTTTTTTACAGTTCTTGATGAATATGGAGTTCCAAGAATCCGGGCCTGGTGCAGAGTGCATAGGCATACTGTTTATGGCTTCTTAAAAATCCAGTGGGATAGGGTGACGTCTGATATATGATTTGATGTTGGTATCATATCCATGAAAAATTCATTTGGGTTATCAATCTTTAGTGCGTTTAATGGCTCACTGAAAACAAGAGTCGTACTGCTTCCTCAGTAGCTCGCTCATTTCTTTGTTGTCATTGGTGAAAGTTCCATCTCCCTTTCGCAGGGGCCCCGATACTAGATGTGGTTTTTTATCTTGATTTTGCATAGGAGAAAAAATATTTTGTATTTCTCTCTATTTCACTGATGGCCTTTTGCTCTCTTTGCCTCTCCTGGGTTTTGTATGATTCTTGTAGCTTGAGTTCAATTGTTTCTATTTCTCTACCTAACTTTCTTCGCCATTCTTGAGATAGGTTGCGACTCTCAAGCTGTTTCGCGATTTGTTTTCTTCGCATATATAGGGAACGACGTTCCCGTTCCAATCTGCATCTCTTCCTCTTTTTTCTTAGGGGTATGCGGTTTGAACATATTTCTAGTGCTACTGAGCTTATTTTTTCCAGGCACTGGTTCAGGTTTGCATTTTCTAGCTGTTCTTCCCAGTTTACTTCTGTGAAGTCCTGGTTTATTTGCTCCCAGTTTATCTGTTTATTATTGAAGTTGAATTTGCTGATCGCCTGCATCGATCATCGATCGCCCTTGCATCGCCTGCTGCGTCGCTGGCTTCCTTTTCGGATTTTTCGGGGTTCTCTGCCGTAGCACCCACCCGAGCCCTAGCTTGATGTGTTCACGGATGCCTCATCTCTAGGCTGGGGCTTTGTCACCAGTGCTCATCAGGCCGGCAAGGACTGATGGGTCCATCCTTCCGCCAGGCTCACAGCACTGATCAATTTTCGTTGCTGTGGCAGTCGCTTCGGAGGGTTTGTGTTGCTCGCAGATCGATGATCCGGCTCCATTCGGACTGCGCCCCGGTGGTTCATTGCTTGAACCAGGGAGTTCGATGTGGTCCTTGGCTCTTTGGGGCTGGTCTCTTTGAGTAACTCGTCTGTTGAGTTCTCGGGGTTCATATCCTGCCGGTTCATATCCGGGGAGTGTCAAACGTCCTACCAGATGGCCTGTCTTGGTTCATTCCCCTATCTACGGAATGGATGGTCGACACTGATTCGTTCAATTGGCTCTGCCGGACATACGGGCATGGACTTCTTCGCGTAGGCGTGGTGAAGGCGTCTCCCGTTATATGCGGTGCCGTTCCCCTACTTTGAAGCCGTCGGGGTTGATGCTTTTCGGCAGGATTGGTTGAAGTGTGGGCCCAGTACCTCTTACCCCGATCTAGCTGTTGCTTTGGGTTCTGACTCGTTTGGAGACGTACCAGGGGAGAGTAGTCCTGTTGGCCCCTTGGTGGCTGGCCCAGCCTTGGTTTCAGGCACTGCTTGCTTGGTGTTCAAACCTGAGGATTATCCACGGTTCTGTCTCTTTCAGCAGATTGGACCGGTCTGGTACATGGCTGGTTCAGTCTTCCCCTTCAGTCTTGGCATCTGGTTTTATTGACAAGGGTTTATCACCACTTGTATGGTGTTCAGGTGGCTTCATTAATGGGGTCCCACATGCATGCTTCATCTCGGCGGCAGTATGGAGTTTCCTGGCGGTTCTTTTGTCACTTTTTGTTTCTTCATAGGTTGTTTTCAGTGTTGGATCGGATTGTCTTGCCCTTTCTCTCTTGGTTGTTTCAGGACCATCATCTTATGCCAAATACTGTTGCCTCATATCGTGTGGCACTAACGGAGCCGATCCTGCTTGCGTTCGGGGGCAGATGTTACTTCTGCTCCATTTTGCCAGCTGTCTCGTGCGTTGTTTCACCTCTGACCTGCTCATGTGCTGCCTGAGCTGTCCTGGTCATTGAACCGGGTGCTCTCTTTTTCTCTCTTTTCCTAGGTTTATAGGGGCCCCTTTGTTTCGGGATTGTTTGATAAGGCTCTTTTCTTGTTGGCATTTGCCTCTAGGGATCGGGTTTGGGAGCTTCATGCTCTCCTCTGGCACAGAGGTTTCTGCTCTTTTGGTGTGGTAGGTTTGTTCGTTTGCAACCGTCTCCTTCTTTTCTGATGAAGACTGAGACGGCCACTTTGTGGAGGAGTCCTTGGGTTGTTGATGCTTGGTTGGTTCGGCCGGGGGTGCATCATGTGTTGTGTCCTGTTGCGGCTCTTCACTGTTATTTGCGCACCATGACCTCAGTGGCTGAGGACACTCTTTGGGTTGACCTGGTTTTCCCTTCTTCCCTGTTCCAGGGTTCAGGTCTTCCAGGTCGGCTGCAGGGTTATTCGGTCCAGCCAGCCTGCGGTCTATCCTCATGCCCATGATGTTCGGAAATTTGCTGTGTTGGCTGCCGTCTTTGGTAATATGCCTTGGGCTGACATTCGGGCATGGGGTTTTTGCAGGTTGAACAGGGTCCTGGCCTCTCGCCACCTATTTAATGTTCTTGGCCCTTGTCGGGCATGTGTCGCATTGCGTCGGCGGTTGCAGCTAGCTGTCTCGAATTCGAGGTGAGGAGTGAGTGGCGTCTATCTCCTAGGTAAGTCCCTGTTTTATCTTTGGTTAAGTAGCTCCCGGGAGCTGAAGGGGCTCCCCCCAGAAAACCAGCTTTGAATGTAATGAAATGCCATTCTATGGGCGAGACCCTGAGGCTCCCCAGCAATCCTTCCTCCCTCCCTCCGGTCGGCGGTTTTTGCAGTTTTTGACATCCAGCCTCTGAACGGGGGGTTGAATAGCCAGCATGGGGGGTCTGGAGCTCCCCCCCCTTTCCCCTCTTGGGGAGGGGGTGAAAGCTGCCTAGACAGCGGCATGGTGACGGTTGTGGCGTCATGCTCGTTTGCTCGTTTGTAGTTAGGGAAGTTCTATTCAACAGTTCTGCTTTCAGTAGCAATTTTTTAACCAGATAAAATTTGTTTTGGGATGCCTACCTTTCTGGGGGTCTGACCCGGTCGATGGCAGACATAGAATGCATCCAACAATACAGGGGTTTCTATAGGCTTTTGCTTCTCATGCCTCTCTGAGGGGGGCCAGGTTCTGGCTCGTGGTCCCTGGTAGGCAGAACTCTATTTCCTTTGACTGATGTCATGGTCTAATATGTTCATATCAGCCTGGATTGCTCAGGGGAGCTTCCGAGTCTCACCCAGAAAATGGCATTTCGTTACATTCAATGCTGGGATTTTTTTGCATTTACTGAGTATTATGCATCCCATAGTAATTGTGTGAACATTGATGGTGAGGTTACAGAGGCATAACATACTCAAAGACTATAGAATATTATTTTGGCTAAATCTACAGTTTTGCACTTTAATTTGTTTATAAATTAAGCACTAGTGATAAAGTTATGATACATACCCTAACTATAAATGGCTTAGTGCTTTTTCTTGATAATTACTCATTTAAAACTAGGTATGGAGGAAAAAATGGCAGGACTTGAGAGTGAGGATGGCCTGAAAGACAGTAGCACTAGTCTTACCAAGAGAGGGAAACATGTGGCAGTCGAGTGCTTGACCCGGCAGGTTAGTTATCCTTTCTCGTATGTTTTGTGTGTAGATACTGTATAGGTATAATATTGTATCTTCATAATAGTCTCAAATGTTCAAAGATGGTAAAACTACCCATATTTTTATTAACTTTTCTGTGGGGAGTCCCTACGGCTCCCTGGAGCTTATCGAGCTATTGTATGTTATATTAGACCAGGACATTAGCGAAGGAGTTCAGACCTACCAGGGACCAGCGCCAGAACCTGGCCCCTTCAGAGAGGTTTCAGGGAGCAATGGCCCTAGAAAACCCCCTTATGGTTGAGGTTTTCCTTATCTGCCATTGACCGGGGTTAGGCACCCAGAAAGGTAGGCATAACAAAACAAACCCCACATGGTAAAAAACTAAAACAAAAAAAACGAATTGAGAGGTAGAAACTCCCTACAATCCCAAGGAAACAAGCAAACATCACACTTTACTGCTGCGCCGATCGTCCACGCAGCCCTCCCCACCCAGAGAGGGGGATGGGGGAGCCCCGGACCTCACCGCGCCGACTGCCTAGCATCAGTTTGTAAGCTAATGTCAACCGGGATAGACGCTTCTCTGGCCTCAGTTTCCTAGGCGGTGTTTGCCTTGTGTGGCGTTCACTGCCGTGTGTTGTGTTGAATGGTGGCCAGGTGCTCCTCATCAGTTCCAGGGCTGCATGCGCTTAGGGGCTTCCTTCCCTAAGTGCCCTGTGAGTACTGCCCCTGCGTGACAGGGTATTCTTCCCTGGGGCGTTCGGGAACCATTCCCGTAGAAGTTCTAGCTGCTCGGCATTTGCCCCACCCTTGGGGCCAGCTTGGGCTTGGGGCCCTTGTTTGGCCCTGGGTAGGGACTGGCATTGTGCTGGTTAGGGCGTCAAGGTGTTGCGTGACCTGCCACCTAAGCGGCGACCGGTTCCTGTTGCCTCTGGAAACGGTGTACTTTTACAGGGGTTTTCTTTTGTTTTTATTTTCATTTGCCTGGTGGGGGTCTGCCTAGTGTGGTAATAGTTCCACTAGTAGTGTTTGGTGGCCCTCTGCTAGGCCCCCGTGATTGTACACGTCGCAGGGGTTTTCAGTGCTATCCTCTACCCCTTGTTATTTTTGGGTTTCTTACCTGGTTAGCAACACCTTGCCCAGGCTTCCCGTAGTTGTTACCCTACGGGCCCTGGAAACCCCTGTCGGGGCTCAGTGGACCATTGAATGTGTCTTCTGGGTTCCAACCTGTCTTGTACCGGATCAGTGGTTGCTGTGCCCTTGTCTCCGGGTGACAGTCTCCACTTTTACCTCCATCATGCAGCCTGTTGGGTCACTGACACCTTGACCCGGAGTCTTGCGAGAGATTCTCTGCTTGTTCTCCAGTACTCTCCTGATGTTATTACTGTTCAGAGTACAGGCGGCATCCGTGTTGCAAGCTAGGTTAGGTTGCTGCAACATGCTAGGTTGGTTTCAATTCAAACAGCCGAAGGCGGGACCACAGCCGCAGCAACACTTCTGGAGGGAAAGACAAGGAGTGGCCTAAGAGCCCTAAACAAGACCCAGCCAGGTCCGAACCCGGGACGGAAACAAATGGAATGGCCTCCAGATCACCAGGAAACCAAACCTGGCGATCTGGAAAGAACCACACTCCTGGCGAGCAGACAAGCGGACCGACTGGGAGCCCACACCAGCCAGTCGTCGAGGTAGGCCAGACACCGAATCCCAAGCAGACTCAGACAGGGCACCAAGATCCGGTAAAGATGCGTAAATACACAAAGTGCCAATTACAAAATAGGGAAGGCAACAAAAGCAGTAAGCCTGAAGCCCCACCACCAACGGTGCCAGTCCTGGAAAACTGGAGAGAAACATGCCTAGAATTGACTTGGAGGTCCAGGGCCACCATCCAGGCACCCGGCATCAACAGAAGCCGGACAGGAGACAACAGTCCTCTGATGAAGGCATAGAATCCAGGGCGCAGACTGAAGAAGTCCAGAAGAACCGCAGATTCGACAGGCCCATGTCTGCATAGAGCAGACGGGAACCCCAGAAGGATTGGGCGGATCGACCACGTCCAATGCACCCAAGAAGATGACACGACGGAGCGCAGGGGAAGATGCCCACCCCGCCAGCCCTGAACCCCCCAAAGGGGGAGAAGCCGTCCACCGCCGCCACCAGAGGCCAGAAGACAACCAAAAGTGCCTACTAACTGCAGGACCATGCGAGAGTTAGCAGAGCAAGCTGCTCCCCCAGCATCCGTCAACAGAGAAGGGAACAGAGCCCCTTCCGAAAGAAAAAGCATGCATACACATACACATATATACATATATATTATGTATATACACCTACACATACATATACACATACACACACAAGGTATGTTACACACATACCACATGTTACACACAACACATGTTACACACATATGTTAGGAAAACTAGGAAGGGAGGAGGAGTGGCTGTACTGGTGAAAAAACACCTGAAGGTAAGAGAGCTAATATTTGAAAACCCTCGAGATATTGACATAATGGCATTGCAGGTCTGGAATCAGGATGATAAGCTGATAATTGTAAATACCTACAGCCCACCAGCAAGCAACACATGGACAAAGGAAGAACTGGATGACAAACGAGAGGGCCTCATAATGGTCATGAGAGATATTATTGTACAAGCAGATAAAGATAAATCACGACTGTTGATACTGGGTGACTTCAACTTTAGAGCAATAGACTGGGAGGCCTATGAAGCAAGAATGGAGGACTTTTGGACATGCAGATTTGTGAACCTCATTCTGGAGACATTCTTGTATCAACACATAAAGCAAGCCACTAGAATGAGGGAAGGAGATGTACCGTCAGTACTGGATCTAGTATTCACCAGGAAAGAAGAAGAGATTTTTGACATCCAGTACCTTCCTCCCTTGGGAAAGAGTGATCACGTCCTGTTAGACATTAAATATGCTTTAAGATATCATCTAGAAGAAAATGGGGACATTGAAACAGTTGATAAACTCGATTTAAGGAGAGGCAACTATGGGGAACTTCGAAATTTTTTTAATGAGTGTAATTGGACAGAATTGTTGTTAGGCAGGGAAGTAAATGAAATGTATGCCAAATTTTTAAAACTATACGAGGAAGGCACACAAACATTCATACCAAAACAGAGATGCAGGGCCAGAAAACAGGATTGGTTCGACAGAAATTGTGAGAGGGCAAGAGACCAAAAGACACAAAAATGGAATCAGTATAGGAAGAGGCCAAACCCCCAAACATACCAGCGATACAAAGATGCGAGAAACAACTATACAGCAGTAAGGAAAGAGGCAGAAAGAAATTTTGAAAAAGGGATAGCAGATAAATGTAAAACAGAACCGGGCCTATTCTACAAATTCATAAACAACAAATTGCAAGTAAAGGATAATATCCAGAGGTTGAAAATGGGAAACAGATTCACGGAAAATGAAAAGGAAATGTGTGAAACATTAAATGAAAAGTTCCAAAGTGTGTTTGTACAAAATGAAATCTTCAGAGAACCAGACACAATAAGAATTCCAGAGAACAACATAGAGCGGATAGAGGTGTCTAGAGATGAAGTGGAAAATATGCTAAAGGAGCTCGGGAAGAACAAAGCAGCTGGCCCAGATGGCGTTTCACCATGGGTTCTGAGAGAATGTGCATCTGAGCTCAGCATTCCACTTCACCTGATCTTTCAGGCATCCCTGTGTACAGGAATCGTAGCAGACGTTTGGAAACAGGCTAACATAGTTCCAATCTACAAAAGTGGCAGCAGGGAAGACCCCCTCAATTATAGACCTGTATCATTGACAAGTGTAATAGTGAAAGTATTGGAAAAGCTAATCAAAACTAAATGGGTAGAACACCTGGAGAGAAATGATATAATATCAGACAGACAGTATGGTTTTCGATCTGGAAGATCCTGTGTATCGAATTTACTCAGTTTCTATGATCGAGCCACAGAGATATTACAGGAAAGAGATGGTTGGGTTGACTGCATCTATCTGGACCTAAAAAAGGCTTTCGACAGAGTTCCACATAAGAGGTTGTTCTGGAAACTGGAAAATATTGGAGGGGTGACAGGTAAGCTTCTATCATGGATGAAAAATTTTCTGACTGATAGAAAAATGAGGGCAGTAATCAGAGGCAATATATCGGAATGGAGAAATGTCACAAGTGGAGTACCACAGGGTTCAGTTCTTGCACCAGTGATGTTTATTGTCTACATAAATGATCTACCAGTTGGTATACAGAATTATATGAACATGTTTGCTGATGATGCTAAGATAATAGGAAGGATAAGAAATTTAGATGATTGTCATGCCCTTCAAGAAGACCTGGACAAAATAAGTATATGGAGCACCACCTGGCAAATGGAATTTAATGTTAATAAATGCCATGTTATGGAATGTGGAATAGGAAAACATAGACCCCACACAACCTATATATTATGTGAGAAATCTTTAAAGAATTCTGATAAAGAAAGAGATCTAGGGGTGGTGCTAGATAGAAAACTATCACCTGAGGACCACATAAAGAATATTGTGCAAGGAGCCTATGCGATGCTTTCTAACTTCAGAATTGCATTTAAATACATGGATGGCGATATACTAAAGAAATTGTTCATGACTTTTGTTAGGCCAAAGCTAGAATATGCAGCTGTTGTGTGGTGCCCATATCTTAAGAAGCACATCAACAAACTGGAAAAGGTGCAAAGACATGCTACTAAGTGGCTCCCAGAACTGAAGGGCAAGAGCTACGAGGAGAGGTTGGAAGCATTAAACATGCCAAAACTAGAAGACACAAGAAAAAGAGGTGATATGATCACTACATACAGAATAGTAACAGGAATTGATAAAATCGACAGGGAAGATTTCCTGAGACCTGGCACTTCAAGAACAAGAGGTCATAGATTTAAACTAGCTAAACACAGATGCCGAAGAAATATAAGAAAATTCACCTTTGCAAATAGAGTGGTAGACGGTTGGAACAAGTTAAGTGAGAAGGTGGTGGAGGCCAAGACCGT